GGAGCCCGAGCGAAAGAATGTCCGGAAGACCGAATTCCAAGCTTGAGAGTTTGCATGTTTCCCAAATGGTTTGAGGCTCAAGGCCTTCGAGGTCAGTTTACAGGTTGTGTCGCTTGTGTGCCTTTTGGGCTGTTGGCTAATAAAGATACTCTGAAATTTGCATTCATCAAGTTGAGGCCATGTGTTTGGTACCCGTACCCTTCAACCTGCGTTATTTCCTCCAATCTCGCCTAGAAATGTCCCATGGCGCCAGAGCAGCGCCGCCATGGCGGCCTGCTCCGTGGCATTGGCGCGCGTTGATTCGCTGGGTGTTTCTGAGCGCTGGCCCTTGGATGCGTGCGCACTGACTGGTCATTGCAGGCGAACTTGGGCCGAAAGTACTGGAGGATAGGCGTGCCCATGATCTTTTGCACATGCTCAGCCACTCCCACGGTAGTGGGTGTTTGAAAGCTCAAGCGCACGACTGGGAGTCAGTCTGCCCACGCACTCACGGCCATTCGATCCCACGTCCACCTACGCAGGCCATTGCTCGTGAGGATCCCCTCGCGCAGTGTGTGCTTCGTGTTCTGGGCCTTGCCGTCGTCGTCCTCGCGCCTGGTGCTTCCTCCCTGGGTGTCCCGCCTGGGGGTGCAGGATGAGGATGCTGCGGAGGCCAGAAGAAGTTTGCGGTGCGCTCTCGAAGTTGGCTCGGAATGCCAAGGTGTGATCAGGCTGAACGCCGTACTAAGGTGAGAGCAGGGCGCCCGCCGTGGATCTGGTCGATGTACACAGTATTTGTAAACAGATTTGCAAGTGCAGCAAGCCTATAGTGCACAAGTGTAGGCTGTAACACTCATCGGCCCAAGCGCACCGCACCTCCCCAGTGTCTCCACAAAAAGACCACCCCCCCAAAAAGGTCCAGAGTCTATAGTTCTATCGCACATGATAGCACCACTCACATGGTCATTGCCATTCTCCTTTCAGCTCCTCTCAGGTGGATGAGCTGAGCAGCGGTGAGATCCAAGAACTGGAGGGGCCCTTGACCACACCCGACCGGATCCAGGCTTGTGCCACGTGGCAGTGATGGCCCGGTAAAGACCGAGCGAGTCGGATCCTGCAAGGGAATACCCCCCCCTCCAAGGTGTGCAGTGGAAATAGACCCTGGAGAGATCATGGAGACCTGCAGCACCCACCGGGTTGTCCAGGACTGTATGCTTGTTGAAGGGAAGCTACGATGAGAGATAGAGCCCGAAGCTGCAGCTGTCCTCACCAGGGCCACTAGGCGCCCCACCTGTACATGTCCTATTGATGGACTGGGCAGGCTTGCAGGCTCACTCTAGCTCTTAGCAGATGGGTTTCCGAATCTTGGAACCGTTCTTTTCGATTTGAGAAGACCTGTTGCAGTTATTGGCATTTTTAAGATCCATCATCCATCCCTTTTTGTAGGATCCAGGCTTCCCCTAGCTGCAGGGCCTCCACCTTTGCTGGCCCAGGTGCTCTTCGGCCACAGCGGCCTCAAAGAAGCCATGCGCCGACAACTGGAGCGCTTGCCCGGCAGTCCACCGTCGGCGTCCGGCGCGATGGAGTGGCACGTGGCGTTGCGGCTGATGGGGGAGGTCTATATCTTCAAGGCGCGCAAGGAGTCCGCAGGCGGTCGTGGTGTTCATTTGGATGGGTCGACTGATTCCTGGGACTGTGATCGCATGTTGGTGCTGGGTCCTCAAAACATCTCACTTGAAAGGCGCCCTCCTTGCCACGCTGCCACACTCACTCACCTCCCCCCCCAAGAAAAAGGAACCCACCAGGATCATCCTGTTTGGGTGTCCAATAGACTACCCCCACCCTACTCACAGGTCTCCAGACAGGGCACCCGTTGGAAGTGGGCAGATGTTCACTCACTCACTCACCCCCCACATTGCAACCCTGTTCACCAAAAGCCACCACTTGGGTCCGCCACCAGGGCGCCCACCCAGGTCCTCCGTGTGGCGGAGCGAGCACTTCCGCTGCCGCGGATTCGCCCGCCGCCAGGCCGAAGGATGGTGTGTTCGCCCGAAATAGGCCGAACGGATGGGAGACCTGGCGGGAAACACCGACCGAGGTCCGACTCAGAACTCCGCATCCCATCCGTTTGGCTCGAGCAGGAGGTGGAAAGTGTCTAAGCCTTCCAAAGAAAGGGCTGCTGGATTGATGGCTTGCCGAAGATCCAAATCCTGCCATACTGTAGGGATCCAAGTGCCTTTTCAGGTCTATCCTGGTCAAGAAGTGCTAGAAGTAGAACCGCTTCAAGGGTCTTCCTGGTGATGGTCCGACACATGCGGCTGACTCGAACTCGACCCACCCAGGCCACGCGCGGCCGCCGCAGACGCCGCGGACGCCGCCGCGTCCACTGCCGCGGAGAAGTGCAAGGCCGGTCAGGAAGCGATGATGGTCATGGAACCGACCTGGAGACCCGGAGCCATAACCAGAGGGCTGCCCACCACCCTCATACTGCCTCCAGGGTCGGAATTGTTTTTGGGGCACTTGATGATCGATGGGCAGTTTCGGAGGGTGTGTGCCACGAAGAACACCCATCTTTGGGTCCAGCCTTCCTCAAAGAGGGTGGGTCAGAAGTTCCCTTTCCAAAAGCTATATAACCAGTACCCTCCAGACGCTGTCGATGAATAGCCTGTTATAGAGGCTCAGCGTTGTCAAAAAAAATGCCTGTTGGAAGGTCCTGGTATAGTATGGTATAAATATATGATAAGATTTGGAAGCTCTCCTCGCTTGATCCTGTTCTGTAGGGCACTCGTTTGACCAGAGCAAAAAACTGACCATAACTGACCCACTCGGGTGGACGAGCACAATGGTGGTGAACGACTGCACCTGTCGAAGGGCTTCTTCTCCCACTTCGGGAGCCAAGCCAAGACACATAGAATGAGCTCACGAGTTGCTGTTTCAGGTGCTTCTGAACAAACCCTCAGGTCTGGATTCCATCTTTTCCAGGGTTTATCTTTGGAAGCCTGGCCCACCAATCACTGACGCCCACCAACCATACCGGGCTCCACCCTGCTAAGGCCCACCTCCAGAACTGGCCGAGGTCCGGGCCCCTTCTTTTCGCGCCGTGGCGAGGAGGTCGGCAGTGGAGTCGGCCAGGTCGGGTCGGCTGGTGTGTTCGTGAGTTCTGGGACCATGGGGGTGGAACCTCTGCGATGTTTTGGGGGGAGATCGGACGGAAAGCAGTCTTCCCTTTGGGGCCCAGGAGTCCGGCCAGTCCCACGCTTGGGAGGGGGTTGTCTCAGTCTCGATGGGAGGATCTCAGAAGACCTGGACCTGGAAGCCCCAACAATGGGTTTCCAACAGTTTCCAATTTACATGTTTTTCCCTGATGACCAGCTATGACACATCGTGAGACCCGTGGTGTCCTGGCTGCTGTGACACCATCCAGATGTTCCAGCTGCTTGGTTTTTTCATCGTCTTGGTCGACTGTCTCCCTGCCAGCCGCGGAAAATTCAAGTAGTCTTTGTCGGGTTGTCCAGTTTGTGGACAGTCGTTGACGTTGAGGACTCTTCAGGTGCATGCAGCTTTGCATCTTGTCCGGCTTTCCATTATCCTTCTAGTTCCCTCTGGGTTGGGTTGTGATTTTGGCTCGGCCCCACTTCATCCTGAAAGAGGTTGACGATGCAAGATCAGATTTGAGATTTGAGCATGTTTACAATCCATCTTGAGGATTGTGATGCTCTAGGGTCGTTGGAGCGATGATGAGAGATGTACGGACTTCTTGGTCATCTCTATTAGGTCCATAGATTAGGTCCAGTATTCTTTTCAGGCCACTGAGGCCCGCACAAGCTGTAGCCACGAGCCCGACGCCTGAGGAAGGTGGCCCGCGTGGCCACGAGCTGTTGCCTTTCCTGTCCGCTCTCCAGGGCTCTTGGTCAGGCATCGGCACCTAGAAACGAGCGAAATGCTCCCAACTGGTGGTTCAGATTTAGTTGAGAGGGTGTAACTAACTAACCTGCTAACTAATTATACCGATACCTTTTGAGTCTGAGTCAGGGTTTGGGCGGAGCCCATATGAGCACCACAAGGGATCTTCAGTGTGGAAGGCGATTGGAGGATACATCATTGCATATCATTGCACAAGTTGATGTGCTAAAGAACAGTTCTATATTATAAGATCAAAACCTCATTTTACTGGAGTTGATCATGCCAAAACACCACTCAATGAGGTAAAGGACCAGGTTTTGCTGGGTCTTTCGACCTGTAGGGTGACAAACTTGACGCTTCCAAGTTCTAAAAAAATCATTCGGATGTGGGCGATGTTGTATTGGAAAACATTGGAAAACGAGGTGTATAGCTTTCCTCCCTGGACAGGCCATGCCAGTTCGGACCGGGAAGTGACGCTTGTCCCGCGCCGACGCTCGTGGAGACAGGCCGATTCTGCTGAGAAACCGACGCGCCGGTTATTCCGAGGTGGCGAAGTGATCTTCGTGCCACTCGTGGAGCTCCTTTGGGAGATGCCACGCGGCATCCGCCCACCGATGATGGGCCGCATGGCGAAGCGAATGGCACCGCCACGACTCGGATTACCACCTTCCAATGGGTGTTCAAATGGATTACCATGGGCTAATTACCTATTTTGTTGTATATGGAGATGTCCGTTTGGACACCCATTGGAGGATCCTGGTAGGAGATAGGGGTATGGAACCGCACGGATGAAGTTGTTTGTGGGTCCTCTTTGAGGACTCTTTAACATACTGCAAGATTAAGAATCAAGAACGTGCAAGAAGCCCAACAAGTGATCCCGCAGTTCTTCCACCTAGTAACCTGGCTCAAGGAAGTACCAAGGACACGAACCGACACGAAGCAACAACAACGCGAGTATTCTTTTCCGTTCTTCCACCTGGTACCCTGGTTCTTCCACCTGGGTCAACACCTTAAGTGCTTCATGGCTGTAGCAGAGTGCCACCATTACTCGCCACTCGACGTCAACGGACCTCGCCGTTGACCGGTTCAAGGCCAGCTGCTGTGGAACTTGGTGCAGCAGATGGGTTTGGATGAGGATTTGCTTCGGTCGACCGAAGTACTTAAGGTTGTTACACTTTTGCCTACGCACAGTACTGACCTACGACCCGTTTGACCTCTGTTTTGATAGGAAAAGGCAATCTTTTTGCTCCAAAACAGGGATCGATCAGGTTCTAGGTGTATAGTTAGGTGTATATATATATATACATACAAAAAAGTTGGCTAACCGTGGCACTGCAGAAGGAACACCAAATGATTCAGGAAGCACAAGCAGCCCTGAATCCAGAGGTCTTCCCATCGAAGAAAAGACCGTCGAGACCGTGCCCCGCTCCTCAGCTATCAACTCAGCCCTCCAGGACGAGCAGGGGCTGCTGTTTCTGGGATCACTGGATGGCCCGTTGCCTGAATATCCTGAGTGCCCTTGCTGAACGGTGGCGAGAACGGTGGTGAGAGGACGACTCCCGGCACAGGATTTGACTTGTAGAAATGTACTGCCACGCAGTAACATCAATTATATATCAATTGATTGTAGAACCTTCATCAGAATCAGGACTTGATGGATTCGAGATGCTTGCACTAGATGTTTCAAATGGAATTTGAATAGCTGTTTCAAATGT